TAAATCATTTTGTAATTCAAAAGCAGGATTTTTCTCTGAACAGATATTAGGATTTTCACAACTAGACATTACTCTATACTCTGAGCAGAAAGTAGCAATACACATATCATCAAATGGTTTACCTTTAGGTCTAGCTAAATAACGATCAATTGTGGAAGTCATGAACAAATTATAATCTGACAGTGTACCATCTTTTGCTCTACTTTGTAAAACTTTCAGTGGAAGAGTTACTCTTATATTATTCTTACCAGTTGGTATAAACTGAACTTTTCTAGAACATTGTTTTAAAGGTAAACCTAAAACTCTTACAGCACTTTCTGGACCAGAAACTTCTCTAGAATGTAAATAAGTAGTTGATATTTTACGCATACAAGCTTTGGCATCCAAATTATTTTGTTTAGCTTCTTTAAATGTTTCACGTAATAACAAACCCATTTCTCTTTCAGCTTTAGTAATATATGAAACAATATAAATAATACATGCATAAGCATTAGTTACATATTGTATGTCTAAGTTTGCATTCCAGGCTCTTAACATATGAGGATTATATTGATTGATCCAGCTTGCATTTACACCTCTTTTTAATACTATATATGTCTTTTTAGTTAGTTTCTCACATGCTAGTTCAAATATTTTTTGACTAATACCCAATTCATCATATAAACTAGACAATGACTGATAGTTTTTATCTTCAGAAGACAATTCTTTCCAAATAGATTCTAGAATAGATCGAGCTTGATCTGTAGTTAAAGTATTTTTATTGTCAATATTTATCTCATTACTTTCAATACCTTCATCTTGCTCAGTAGAACTCTCAGTTTCTAATGGTCGACAAATAAATGTTTTATCTGAAGGAGGTTTAGGAAAATTAAATCTACAAACTTTTTTATTTTTCCTACAAGATTTAGAATGTTTAGAACTGTGTTTCTGAACATTGGATACTATTTCATTTAATTCAGGGTCTGTTTTCTCATCTGGCAATTCACAAGAAATATATTTATCAATAAATTCTACAACCTGTTCATCACTTTCTACATCTAGTTTAGGAGCTTGATCTATATAAATTATCATATGAACATGTGGTGATCCTCTTTGTTGAAATTCAATTCGATAAAAATAGTCAGAAATTTTTCCTAGTGGCTCTGCATCTGATAGTAATACATTTCTTAAAAACAGCTTAAATCTTTGATCAAAAAGTCTGGCAACTGTTACTGGATTTGATCTCAACAATTCACGTTTCTGTAGCCAATTTAAATCACATACTTTTACTGTAGAACCTTGTTGTAACAATATTGTTTTTAAGAAGGATTCAAATCTTAGTTCACTACAACTAAATGACACAAAAAAAGTAGGAGTACCTAGTTGTCTTAACATAGCAAAAAGATCTTTCTGAGTAGCTTGCCAGTAAGCTGGACTTCCACGACAGTTTTTCATAAAAGTATAACCAGCATCAGATTTAAGAATATTTTGTAATGGTTCATCTTGAGTTAACATATCAGCTGTTATCATATTACCTCCCATTCTACCTTGTCTTAAAGCAATAGATGTACCTGATATTATTTGTTGTAATTCATAAATATATTGACCATAGAATAAATAATCTGAGCAGGATGCAAAACGATTGTCTACAGACATTAATCTAGTCTTTAAATATTTACC